TGGTAAAATTCACCGAAGAAGAGTCATGCACAGTGATGGTACTGTGCAATGCGGGGAGGTAGTTTTCAAAGTACTTTTCTCCTATTTCTAGATCCAATGGCTCACAAGGATTACAAAGGATGATGGTGGGGGTGTTGCCTTGCTGTGGTTGCAAGTGTAGATGTGGGGGTGTGTCTCGACAAAAGAGGAAGAGAATGAGCAATGGTGAGTGAGACTAGAAGAAGAAGAAGAAAATAGAGAAAGTGAAAGAGAGATATCACAGGACAGAAAAGGAAACCCCTAGAAAAATGGGGAATCTTGCCACATGTCAGCGCAAGTGTGGTCCAAAAATGTAGAAATATCTCCAATACAGAAATTACCCAAAATGCCCCTATCATTATGAGTTCCGTAAAATCTTCATTTTCGCTCCAAATGCAATTCCGCTTATGCCCACACATTCGTATCGTCGAGAACTACGCAAATACGCTAACAGAATGAGCCCTATGTCCCTCTAACCGATGGTCAACGGGAGTCAAAATGCTTGCCTCTAGGAGCATTGTCGTCAAATCACTCATTTAAAATTAATAAAATTATAAAATTAGGGATGAATTGTCATAGTATGTGTAGAAGTATTAAATAAAGAGGACAAAATGTAGGGACTTTAGTCAATTCTCTATGTTGGTTCACTTTACATCGAAGAAAGTTCATGAATTCTTTTCTAATTGATTCTAAATGGCTTAGACTATGTGGTCATCTTAGTTGGAACTTTTGGAAAGATGTTTTGATTTTTAACGTTTTCTATGGATTGCAATTTGAAAATGAAAATTTTGTCTTAGTTGAGTTTTAATAAAGTTTTTAAGTTTGTTAGTTTTTGTTTTTGTGTTTGATTTTTGTTTTTGCTCGAGGACAAGTAAAAACCTAAGTTTGGGATGGGTGATGCGTAAAATAACTAAACACACAAATTAAACCCTCTTTTGTCAAATTGTAGTAAAGATGTAAGTAGGGATCATTCTAAACCGGGGATTATGAGGGATTGCTAAACTCTTGAAAACTAACTCAATAATGTAAAAACAAAGTTTAAAACACTAAACTAGACTCAAAGAATGTAAAATTAAAAGTTAAAACACATAAAACTCAAAACAACAACCTAATGACTCAAAACTGCCTAAAAACCACTTTATGGGCAGTTTTGAGAACCTAACAAGAAATTGGACGAATTTGGATGAAAACTTGGATCAAAACACTTAGAAACACAAATCAAAACGCTTTCTAACTAATCTAAGACTTCAAAATAAAGGGGGATATGTTCTGGACGAAAATTGAAAACAAAACAGAAACTTTAAAACAAAACAGATTGTAAAACGTTTTTGGATGAAAAGGATGGATAAAAGGCTAGTTAGGAGGTTCTTCTCCACACATGACACACTTGCAAACAAAACGATTTTCAGTTGTTCTTCCAATAAATTATGAAACTCAACACCCCAAGTTAATTAGATACGTTTAAATTAACCTTCAAGTTCTCCTTAAGTTAATGAATTGGATGGGAAAGCGCATACAACAATTCAAAGCATTCCTCAAAGGTTCCTTACGTGATGAGCACAATAAAGATACAATCAAGAATCATGAAGCACAATGAGAACTATAAGTGTTGACGAGGCATTCGTTACTATGATGAGCATGAAACTAGTGCCAAGAATTCATTCAACGCGATCGTTTTCAAGCGACCTTCACTACTTGTGATTATAAGATTGTAACTATTAAGTGAAACTCCCTCATAATCTAGCATCATATTCATGCATGAAAACTAAGCGTGCACTCTCAATCAACATACAAAAATAAGTTATCAATCAAGTAGATGAACGAATTGAATCCACAACTTATGAAATAACAACTGAATGTAATCAAATCATATTGCAAGCATGTACATGGTTTCGAATCACCCCCCAACTAAGGGGGTTTAGTTCCTCATACTCACAACACAAAGTTTATTGAATTGAAACATTGAAAACATAAGAAAGATTACACCTAAAAGTTCCAGCAATCTGCAATAGACTAGCAAGCACATTCAAGAGCACTTCTTCTTCCTTCTTGCTGCGGCACAAGGTATGGAGATGGTTTGGATGGGTTTTGGATGATGGAGAATGGTGGGAAGGTGTCTAGGATGGGTGTATGGCACGGCTAGGAAGGTTTGGGGTCAGAAGATATGGATTTGGGTGAAGGTTGGGCACGGCAAAGGTAGGGGAAAGGTTTCTGGCGTGAATGGATGTGAATGGGTGTGTGTGGAATGTTTTGTGGCTGCAACAAGGAGGTTTATTTAAAGGAAAACAGAAATTAAAACCCTAGGTTGATTAGGAAATCAGAAATTAAGTCTAAGGATTCTAGAATTAGGAAATAAAATCAGAAACTTAAAGGAAACCCACCAAAAGTTGCGGCAATCACTTAAAACACAAAAGGAATGTGTTTTAAGTCAGATTTTGGGAAAGAAACCCTCTCCCTTGCACGGCAAGGAAGAGGAAAAGTCAGAAATCCCTTACAAGGTGCGGCAAAGCTTTAGGAAAGGTTTAAGTGTCCTAAAACTTAAAGGGAAAGGGAAAGCTTGTGCGGCAAGGACAAGGGATTGGTGTATGATGTGCGGCAAAGGTCCCTAAGAATTCTAGGGCCTTTGTTTGGTGTCCCAAAATGCATAAAAGGCAATCAAAGTGGCTGGAACTTAAGGACATTTAGGAATAGGAAAGGTCAACCAAAATAGGAAACCTTGGCTTAACTTTCCTACTTCAAGTAGGAATCCTTGTTGGAGTAGGAATCCTTGTTCTTCTAGGAATCCTTTTTCAATTAGGAATCCTTTGTTGATTAGGAATCCTTCTTGGATTAGGAAACCAACTTTCTTCAAGACTTCAATTCATCCATTCCTTTTGCTCCAAAAGGCTCCATTTTGCTTCTTTTTGCACACTTTGACCTTAGAACCTGAAAACACACAAAAGTGACTTTAAACACTAAAATAGCTAAGTAAACACAAACCTAAATGCACGAGAACAAGCCAATTAAGTAGCATAAATATGCTCCCTATCAAATTCCCCCCACACTTAGCTTTTGCTAGTCCTCGAGCAAAACAAACAAAAGAAAGGAAACAAAACGAAACAAACTAACCAAAACAAAATCCTAAACCTTCCAACGTTTGCCTCAGGGATTTCCAATGCACATGACATGTTAAAGATTGTTATCCCCACAGATTTGAGTCATCTTTACACAAGCACATACTTAATTAAAGCCACTACTTACTCGTTCACAAGTAATCAATTAAAACAATGCTTTGAATGTAGTAACATGCCTTAGAGAATTCCCTCAATTCCTTACAAGATATACACTCTATTTTCACTCAGATTTTCTAACTCCACACCCTACACTAGTCATATGTGAGAAGATTGATGTAGATATGAAAACGAATGCTCACATATATGTTTCACAAAGAACGCAATTTCTAGAGTTAAGCAGCATGTTTAGATATGATCTCATGAATGGAATGCTACTACTTAGATGCGAGAACCAGTGACACCATATGCTCATACCAAATTCAAACTCCACAAATTGAAACACATAACACTCAAGATAGAAGTTAAGGGTTGTAATGGGGCTTGGGGTGTTGGTTAACAAGGAAAGGATAGGGGAAAACAAACGTTCTTCAAGCGATAGTAAGCAAAGCAATGAAATTGAGACTTAGAATTCACTTAAATTGTAGAAATTAACTTTAACACACAAGGGGAGACTTAAACAACTCCTTAGGGCCGAATTCATTGTTTTGGACCCTCACTTCAACAAACAATACTTTGGAACTCTTTTTCTCAACTTTTCAACTCTTTTTTCATACTTTTCACACTTTTCTTTTTTTTTTTCTTCTTTCAATGCCGTGCCTATGGCACACTAATTCACATGAGAACACTTCCCCCACACTTGTTTTCTGCTAACATAGATCAAAAGGAATTCAATTCGAATTATGCTTTACTATGCTTTAAGAACAAGGGTATGGATGGTCCTAAACTAGGCTAGGTGAGGAAAACATGGGTTAACAAATAATGAAGGCTAACAAGGCTCAACGGGGTTAAAAACCTACAAAACATAATGACATAGGGCACACGGCATTTGGCTAAGGTGGTGGTCACTACACAACTTCATCTTGAATATATGTTATGCAAATCAATAACATGCTTTGAATGAAATGGGCATGAGTTCTAGCATTTGGAACTAAATGATAAAACGCCTTCTAAATAGTAACCAAGCAAGGAATAATGAGATCATGCAACGACTTAGAAAACAAAGAATGCATAGAATTTAACTCTCCGAATAAACGTTTAGGCTCAAGTCTCACAAGGTTGTAGCGTTAGTTTGAGTTCCTTCCTTCAAGCATGTTACAAAAACTGATTTTTCCTTTAGGATTGCATGTGAATTCATGAGTTATAACCACAACTAAGCATAAACAAAGAGTAAATCAAACTTTCATCCATGTTAATCACTCTCTTTAACAGCCATGTAATTACAAACCGAATCCTCATCATTGTGTTGGAAGGTACCCTAAGACACAAACAAACACACAAAAACAACTCTTTTTGGGGTTTTTAAAACAAATTTTTCAAATTTTTATGTGATTTTCGGATTTTTGCATCAAAACACACTAAAACACACCAAAACTGCTCAAAAACACTTAAAAACAGCAAGGAACAAGTCTCCAAGTAAAGGGTGATAAAATCCCACGAATTTGCATCTAAAACACTTAGTTACCCCCCCCACACTTAAATCAAACATTGTCCTCAATGTTTCAAGCATAAAACCACACTAAACAAAAAGAAACACACAAACAGCAAGTAAATAACAAAACTGGGCAGATTAGAAACAAGCAACAAAGTGAAGGGTTTTAGGAACGCAAATCTGGAATTGGAGTGATTCCTAGGGCTTCCTTTGTTGAATTGCATGGGTTGCCTCCCAAGTAGCGCTTTCTTTAACGTCTTGCAGCCGAACGAAAAACATAATCATGCCCCATTGGAGCCCACGGCATCTAGTGGGATTTCTTCCACAACATGCTCAACAAAGTTCTCGTAGTAGGGCTTCAATCTATGTCCATTCACCTTGAATTCTTGGCCGGTTTTCAAACTTTGTATTTGGACTGCACCATGCACAAAAACATTAGTGATAACAAATGGGCCAACCCACTTAGAACGTAACTTACCGGGAAATAGACGAAGACGGGAGTTAAATAGCAACACTTTCTGCCCTATGGAGAATGTTTTGCCTCTAATCATCTTGTCATGGAACGCCTTGGTCTTCTCCTTGTAAATCCGGGCATTCTCATAAGCATCATGCCTAATCTCCTCAAGCTCATTCAATTGGAGCTTCCTATGATTTCCAGCCATGTCCACGTCCATATTGAAAGTTTTGACCGCCCAATGTGCCTTGTGCTCAAGCTCCACGGGGAGATGGCATGGCTTGCCATACACTAGCCGAAATGGGGACATACCTATGGGTGTCTTGTAGGCCGTTCTATACGCCCACAATGCATCCTCCAAATGCAAGCTCCAATCTTTTCTATTTGGCCCAACGGTCTTCTCCAAGATTTGTTTGATTTCTCGATTGGAAACCTCGGCTTGGCCACTCGTTTGGGGGTGATAAGGTGTGGCAACCCTATGCATCACATTATACTTCCTCAACAATGCCTCAATGGTGCGGTTGCAAAAGTGAGATCCACCATCACTTATAAGCACTCTAGGCATCCCAAATCTAGAGAAAATGTTAGATTTAACGAAATCTGCAACAACTCTAGAATCGTTAGTTCGGGTGGCTTTAGATTCCACCCACTTCGACACATAATCAACAACAAGTAATATGTAAGTAAAGCCAAAAGATGTAGGAAAAGGACCCATAAAATCAATACCCCACACATCAAAGATTTCAACAACAAGAATGGGGGTTTGCGGCATTTGGTCCCTTTGGCCCAAATTTCCCGTTCTTTGACATCTATCACACGTCAAGCAAAACGTCCTAGCATCTTTAAACAATGTAGGCCAATAAAAACCACATTCAAGAACCTTATGCGCTGTGCGTTGTGTGCCAAAGTGTCCACCACATGCATATGAATGGCAAAAACTCAAAATGGAATGAAATTCAGATTCAATCACACAACGACGTACAATCTGATCCGGACAGATTTTCCACAAATATGTGTCATCCCACACATAAAACCGTGCCTCCTTTCTAAGTTTATCACGTTGGGCCTTGCTTAGGGTGTTAGGAACTTGCTTAGACACCAAGAAATTGACCAAATCGGCATACCAAGGGGTACTTACCTTAATGGACAGAAGTTGTTCATCCAGAAACGTCTCAGAAATGGGGAGGGACTCTTCTTCACGCACCAATCTGCTCAAGTGGTCAGCCACCACGTTTTCACAACCTTTCTTGTCCCTAATTTCAATATCGAACTCTTGAAGTAGGAGCATCCAACGAATGAGCCTTGGTTTAGCCTCCTTTTTGGTGAAAAGATACTTCAAGGCTGCATGGTCAGTGAAAACAATTACTTTAGTACCAATTAGATATGATCTAAATTTATCTACAGCAAATACAACCGCCAAAAGTTCTTTTTCGGTTGTAGAATAATTCAATTGAGCATCATTTAGAGTGCGTGAAGCATAATAAATAACATGGGAATGTTTATTTTTTCTTTGACCCAAAACAGCCCCAAGTGCATAATCCGAGGCATCACACATCAATTCAAATGGAATGGACCAATCCGGAGAAGTGATGATGGGTGCCGTGGTAAGTAGCTCCATGAGATGCTTGAATGCCTTCTCACATGCCTCGTTGAACTCAAAAGACACATCCTTTTGGAGGAGGCGGCATAGGGGTTGTGCAATCTTGGAAAAGTCTTTGATAAATCTTCTATAGAATCCTGCATGACCAAGAAACGAACAAACCTCTCTAACCGAAGTAGGAGAGGGTAAGTAACGTACAAGATCTACTTTAGACTTATCAACTTCAATTCCTTTTTTAGAAATTATATGACCCAAAACAATACCTTGTTTAACCATAAAGTGACACTTTTCCCAATTCAACACAAGGTTTGTTTCAACACAACGTTTCAAGATTAAAGTGAGATTATCCAAGCATTTGTCAAATGAATCACCAAACACACTAAAATCATCCATGAATATCTCAATAATCTTTTCAACATAATCCGAAAATATGCTTACCATACACCTTTGAAACGTGGCAGGAGCATTGCACAAGCCAAATGGCATGCGTCGATATGCAAACGTTCCAAAGGGACAAGTAAAAGTGGTCTTTTCTTGATCATCCGGGGCAATGACAATTTGGTTATAACCTGAATATATCCATCAAGAAAACAAATAAAAGGAATGACCGGCTAACCTTTCCAACATTTGGTCTAGAAACGGCAAAGGGAAGTGATCCTTCCTTGTGGTGGCGTTTATCTTCCTATAATCAATGCACACACGCCAACCGGTTTGAATCCTCATGGGTACAAGCTCATTCTCGGCATTTTCCACAACTGTCACTCCGGATTTCTTAGGCACACATTGGATAGGTGAAACCCAACGACTATCGGAGATGGGATAGATCACCCCACAATCTAGAAGTTTAATTATCTCCTTTTTCACAACTTCCATCATTGGAGGGTTAAGACGGCGTTGAGCCTCTCTAGTTGGTTTGGCCCCCTCCTCAAGAAATATGTGATGCATACAAGTCGTAGGGCTTATACCTTTGATATCGGCCAATGTCCAACCTAGGGCAGATTTGAACTCCTTCAAAACTCGAAGCAATTTCTCCTCCTCTTATGCCGTGAGGGAGGAAGAAATGATGGCAGGTAGTGTTTCATTTTCTCCCAAGAAAATGTACTTCAAATGGCTTGGCAAAGGCTTGAGTTCAAGGATAGGTGCCTGAATTATGGATGGAAGCAATTTGTTAGTCGAAATGGGAATGGACTCACGGTTAGTATACTTACCATCAAGCTTAGGTGAGGACTCAAGGGCAGCCACAACTTCAATTAGTTCCTCACTAGGGGGCACGGCAAGAATGGTGTCATTCATGCCGTGGGTTTGCATGAAATCTGCCCCTTTGTTTTTGCCTTCCACGCCTTGTGTAATGACTTTTTCAAGCACATCCTCGTTCAAATCTTCAAGATATCCCTGCGCCAAAGAGTCAACAATATCAATAGAGAAACATGAATGATCTTCACAAGGATATTTAATAGAATCAGAAAGATTGAAGTTAACAACTTCCCCATCAAATTCCATGGACAAAGTTCCATGAAACACATCAATTTTAGTCCGGGCCGTCTTCATGAATGGCCTTCCAAGTAGAATGGGCAGCGAGGGTGCATGATCTGATTCATCCATCTCAAGAACATAGAAATCCGCCGGAAATATCAAATGGTTAACCTGCACCAAAACGTCTTCCAAAACTCCCTTTGGATAGGCATTAGATCTATCGGCCAATTGTATGATAACACCATCATTTTTCAATACTCCTAGGTTCATAGATGCATAAATGGAATATGGCATAACATTTATAGAAGCACCTAAGTCAAGCATGGCAGATTCAAATCTAGTGTTACCAATGACACAAGGAATGGTAAAACTACCCGGATCTTTGCATTTGGGAGGTAATTTGCGTTGCAAGATAGCGGACACATTCTCACCTACCTTTACCACTTCTTTGGTCGAAATCCTCTTCCTAGTGGTGCACAATTCTTTCAAGAACTTAGCATACCTCAAGACTTGCTTGATTGCATCTAACAAAGGTATGTTAACTTGAACTTTCCTAAAAGTTTCAAGGATATCCTTTTCTGCCTCTTCTTTCTTCGTTTGCATGAACCTACTAGGAAAAGGCACATTTGAAGGGAAAACATTAGTATGAACTGAATTGGACACATTCTTACCCTTATTGGCCGAATTGGACAGATTGGGGGCCTTAGGGACTTGCGGCAAAGGTGGAACCTCCTTTGCCGTGGGCATGCTTGATTCCTCCTCTTGTATTTGCACATTTACATCACTTTTGGGACCTGTTTGTGATGGTGTAGAACCTGCCCCAATCTCTTTTCCACTTCTCAAAAGTATTGCCTTTGCACTTTCGAAACCTCCCTTCGGATTTGGAATGGTGGAACTAGGGAGTTGTCCGAGATCTCGAAACTTACCTACAAACTCGGCAATCTGCCCAATTTGTTTCTCAAGTTGATCCACCCTTTTGTCTTGGTTTTGCATAGCTTTAGCTTGATCTTCCTGCCCATTAGACAACTTAGTTAGTATCTTAAGAAGTGCATCATTGTCAAGAGACGTACCTGAGGCACTTGGGCCGGATTGGGCTTGATTTTGGGGTGGGCCGTAAGTTTTGGGAAAGAACCCCGGGGGTTGTTGCCTAAAGCCTCCTTGGTTTTGAGGTTGTTGGGGCTCCCTCCACTTGAAATTTGGGTGGTCTCTCCAACCGGGATTTTATGTGTTTGAATATGGATCGTTCCTTGGTTGGTTTTGACCTTGAAACCCAATTGCATGGGTGCTTTCCCATCCACCATTTTCAATCAACTGTGGACACTTTCAGAGGCATGTCCTTGGATGGAACATACGCCACATACAATTGGTCCTTGCATCTTCATGCCCTCGGCCATCTGAGACACAATAGAAGTAAGATTAGCCAATTGTGAATGAAGATCGGAAGTTGAACTTACCTCATGTACTTGGTGCCGTGGGGGGGTCCCCTTTGGCCTACTCCTTCGTATTGTTGAGCGTTCAACGCTCGATTAGAGATCAAGATCTTGGCAGCCATGGGTGTTTTGTCCACCAATGCTCCCCCCGCTGAAGCATCAAGCATTTGACGTTCTAGAGGTAGGAGACCCTCGTAGAAGTATTGCAAAAGCAACTTTTCCTTCATCTGATGCTGTGGACAAGAAGCAACAAGTGATTTAAATCGTTCATAATATGTAGGAAAAGACTCACCTTCTTCTTGCTGGATTCCGCTTATCTTTTTGCGTAGGAGGATGATGCGAGAAGTTGGAAAGAACTTCTCCAAGAATGCTCTCTTCATACTCTCCCAAGATGTGACAGTGCCAGGAGCTAACGCGTAAAATAACTAAACACACAAATTAAACCCTCTTTTGTCAAATTGTAGTAAAGATGTAAGTAGGGATCGTTCTAAACCGGGGATTAGGAGGGATTGCTAAACTCTTGAAAACTAACTCAATAATGTAAAAACAAAGTTTAAAACACTAAACTAGACTCAAAGAATGTAAAATTAAAAGTTAAAACACATAAAACTCAAAACAGCAACCTAATGACTCAAAACTGCCTAAAAACCACTTTATGGGCAGTTTTGAGAACCTAACAAGAAATTGGACGAATTTGGATGAAAACTGGGATCAAAACACTTAGAAACACAAATCAAAACACTTTCTAACTAATGTAAGACTTCAAAATAAAGGGGGATATGTTCTGGACGAAAATTGAAAACAAAACAGAAACTTTAAAACAAAACAGATTGTAAAACGTTTTTGGATGAAAAGGATGGATAAAAGGCTAGTTAGGAGGTTCTTCTCCACACATGACACACTTGCAAACAAAACGATTTTCAGTTGTTCTTCCAATAAATTATGAAACTCAACACCCCAAGTTAATTAGATACGCTTAAATTAACCTTCAAGTTCTCCTTAAGTTAATGAATTGGATGGGAAAACGCATACAACAATTCAAAGCATTCCTCAAAGGTTCCTTACGTGATGAGCACAATAAAGATACAATCAAGAATCATGAAGCACAATGAGAACTATAAGTGTTGATGAGGCATTCGTTACTATGTTGAGCATGAAACTAGTGCCAAGAATTCATTCAACGCGATCGTTTTCAAGCGACCTTCACTACTTGTGATTATAAGATTGTAACTATTAGGTGAAACTCCCTCATAATCTAGCATCATATTCATGCATGAAAACTAAGCGTGCACTCTCAATCAACATACAAAAATAAGTTATCAATCAAGTAGATGAACGATTGAATCCACAACTTATGAAATAACAACTGAATGTAATCAAATCATATTGCAAGCATGTACATGGTTTCGAATCACCCCCCCAACTAAGGGGGTTTAGTTCCTCATACTCACAACACAAAGTTTATTGAATTGAAACATTGAAAACATAAGAAAGATTACACCTAAAAGTTCCAGCAATCTGCAATAGACTAGCAAGCACATTCAAGAGCACTCCTTCTTCCTTCTTGCTGCGGCACAAGGTATGGAGATGGTTTGGATGGGTTTTGGATGATGGAGAATGGTGGGAAGGTGTCTAGGATGGGTGTATGGCACGGCTAGGAAGGTTTAGGGTCAGAAGATATGGATTTGGGTGAAGGTTGGGCACGGCAAAGGTAGGGGAAGGTTTCTGGCGTGAATGGATGTGAATGGGTGTGTGTGGAATGTTTTGTGGCTGCAACAAGGAGGTTTATTTAAAGGAAAACAGAAATTAAAACCCTAGGTTGATTAGGAAATCAGAAATTAAGTCTAAGGATTCTAGAATTAGGAAATAAAATCAGAAACTTAAAGGAAACCCACCAAAAGTTGCGGCAATCACTTAAAACACAAAAGGAATGTGTTTTAAGTCAGATTTTGGGAAAGAAACCCTCTCCCTTGCACGGCAAGGAAGAGGAAAAGTCAGAAATCCCTTACAAGGTGCGGCAAAGCTTTAGGAAAGGTTTAAGTGTCCTAAAACTTAAAGGGAAAGGGAAAGCTTATGCGGCAAGGACAAGGGATTGGTGTATGATGTGCGGCAAAGGTCCCTAAGAATTCTAGGGCCTTTGTTTGGTGTCCCAAAATGCATAAAAGGCAATCAAAGTGGCTGGAACTTAAGGACATTTAGGAATAGGAAAGGTCAACCAAAATAGGAAACCTTGGCTTAACTTTCCTACTTCAAGTAGGAATCCTTGTTGGAGTAGGAATCCTTGTTCTTCTAGGAATCCTTTTTCAATTAGGAATCCTTTGTTGATTAGGAATCCTTCTTGGATTAGGAAACCAACTTTCTTCAAGACTTCAATTCATCCATTCCTTTTGCTCCAAAAGGCTCCATTTTGCTTCTTTTTGCACACTTTGACCTTAGAACCTGAAAACACACAAAAGTGACTTTAAACACTAAAATAGCTAAGTAAACACAACCTAAATGCACGAGAACAAGCCAATTAAGTAGCATAAATATGCTCCTATCAATGGGGGCATTTGATGAGTCATATTATACCGTATATTTTACCTTATTCTTAGTTATGGTTTATTAGTTCTTTTGGTAGAATTTTGATACTTTGTTATGTATATTCTACTAAGTCAAACTTCAAAACTATATTAGAGAACTTTTGGGGGAATATTTGTATAACGATGACCTAGAAAATGATCTAAGTCAAATTATAGAAAAGCATTGTAGAGCTGGCCAAATGAACAGTTAGTGCCATATTAACTTACTAATTAACTAGCATTTGCCTACACACTTTGTGTGTATGGACATATTTTTTTAGAAAATGAGAAGGAGAGAGGGAGAGAGGGAGAGAGAGAGAATGTGGGCGGAATGGGAGGTTTTTGTTTTTGGTTTTTTTCTTAATTCTTCTTTAAATATTGGAGGTATTTTAACATCACCTGTAGGTGA